ATCTATATCTATATCTATATCTATATCTATATCTATATCTATATCTATATCTATATCTATATACATATCTATCTATCTATCTATCTATCTATCTATCTATCTATCTATCTATCTATCTATCTATCTGTCATCTATCTATTATATATCTCTATCTATCAGCTATCTATATCTATCTAATTATCATCTATCAATCATCTATTTATCTGTCATCTATGTACCAATCATCTATCATCTCTCTATAACTTTATTAAAAGTTTTTAAAAAGAAGATAAAAACTAATACAACCTATGTACAGTAAGAAAGAAAGAGAAATCACAGAGGAAGCTAAAAGTGCAAGAAAAGAAAAAAAAACTAAAAGAAAAATAGAAAAGAAAAAAAGATAAAGAGACGTAGCTTCCGATCTTTACAGCAGTTATACGTACAATTACAAATTTACTTCTTTCTCTAAAGTTATAACATGTCTCTTCTTTCTATAATCTATCTTTCTAATCATCAAAACCATAAATCACACGTTCATTTTTTTCCTGTTTTCCGCAAAAAGTCCATAAGGGGTTTCCAGTCAGTGATAAATGTAGAAGTTGTCTTTTCTCTAATCCAAGTTTGCTTTGGTTTATCCAGCGGGCCTGGGAGTGCCAAGGGCCGGTGCTCGGAGGTTCCCAACAATCTGGTTGCACATTGCTTTTCAGTCTCTTGGGTGATTGAATTGGATTTAATTTAGTTGACCACATTTGTAAGGCCACCCAATTCAAAACAACGATGGACAATGTTCAAAACAGATGAAAAACAGCAACAGTGGTCACAGAAATAAATGACTCAACAAGAGTACTGTTGAGGATCCCCATCATTGGTTAGCTCAAGGCCTGAGAATAAGAAACAGGTTTTAAGGGCTTTGTAACATATGGTTATAATGAAGTTGATACCAACTTTATTCAACTTTTAAAAATAAGGTCAGTAAAGTTGATAATGACTGTAATGCAATGGGGGTGGGGGAGGGGGTGGTATAGGCATAGCTCTAGATTTATACGAATGAACAGGTGAACTGAGCTTGGCTGCTCTGCTGATGTGGACCTGGCGATGCTTGGGTGGGAGACCACCAGGAGATTATAGGTCTAGACTGGGAAGTGGAAAAATCTTCCCTGAAGCAAACTACTTTCACGTTGCCAAGTCAATTAACAGGGAAAAACCCTGATTTGAAGGGATCTTCCCTTGATCATGCAATTTCAATATAATCAGCTGCCACCTATTAAACCAGTGTTTCTCAACCTTGGGAATTTTAAAATGTGTGGACTTCAACTCCCAAAATTCCCCAGCCAGCCATGGGAATTGAAGTCTGGCAGTTGAAGTCCACACATCTTAAAGTTCCCAAGGTTGAGAAACACTGTATTAAACAATGAGTGACTTCAAATGATGGGGGGGGGGCGATCAGAAGGACCTCACAAAGGGAAGCGTTATTATATCTGGGTCCAATTTCTCTGCAAGCCAATGCCAACCTCTCTGCTCCCCTGCTGAGTCTGTTGGGTGTGTCAGCCTGCCAACCCCATAAGCCTCAGCATGACTAATCGTGAGGTTGGCTGTGGTGAGAATTGTAGTACCCAGTATCTACTCATTTAGGGAAATCAACACCATGCTATGAGGGAATAGGAGGAAGTTGCTTCACACAGCAGATTTTTTGTGTGTGAGGGCATCAAAATGCTTATGTAAGTCTATTGTTTTGTGATTTACCAGGGAGATCCATAACTCTTCATTTTCAACCTCAGAGTCAAAGCCTCTGCTCAGCTGGAGTTTAGTTGGGTATACAAACATACTTAGGTCAACATGTGTAGGCTTGTAAACATGATTTGGGCCATTTCATAGTTTGGTGGTAGTACCCAGACTGGTTCAGGATGAAGGAGATCCCATGGAAGCCCTTCACTTTTCTCTGTGGGTTCACCATCGCAGGCGATCTGAGGCTCCTGAGAAATTGACAGGTTGCTTCTCTTGTCTCTTCAGTGGCCTCATCACAGACACCGTAGCTGAGGTGGACCTCTACACAGAGAATCTGCGTTCCAAGTTTGGCCCCTACACCCAAGAACTGCAGGAGCGCCTTAAGACCGAAGTGTCCACCCTCACCGGAAAACTGAAAAATGACATGGAGGAGACCAAGAGCAAGGTGATCCAATATTGCCGAGATGCCCGTTTGATGTTTGACCATAACCTGGATACAGTGAAGTCCCAGTTCAACTTGTTCATGCGCAAGCTGAAGAAACGCCTCACCAAGGACGCTGAGGAACTGCGCCAGAAGCTGGGGGACTACACGGCGGAGCTGCGGGCCAACGCTGACGAAAAGGTCAATGCTTTCCATCAGAACCTAGAGCCCTACATCACCAACATCCATGAAAAGGGACAGGAGCGATTCCAGGCCCTGAAGCAAGCCTTAGGAGAGCAAGGAAGAATGGTCCATGAGCAGCTCAGCAGCCGTGCTCAGGAGTTCCACAGCCAGGTCCAGGAGAAACTCGAGGAGTTGAAAAACACCTTTGAACAGGCCATTGAGAACCTACGCCAGTGGTTCAACCCCACCACGGAAGAGGTCGCCTCCCAGTAACGGACCACGATGGAGCAGATCAAGCCGCTGCCGGCGTAAGCCATTGGCCTGCACTTCCAGCAAAGCTCCTGCTACATTTCCTTGAAAGCCGAGGAGACCTCAAAGCTTCAGTCCTCTTGGTTGGATGGGTCTTGACAGGCCAGGCATGTATTAACCCAACCTTCCCAACTGGCTGAGAACCCCCCCAGATGTGTCGCACGGCACCAACCAGAATTGGGGTGGCAAGCCAACTCATCTGGAGAGGACCAAGTGGGGGAAGACGGCACTAACCTCATGCTGCTTTGCACAAGCACCCCCCAGCACTAAAATGTCTACCCTTTCTGCTGGTTACCCCTTCCAAGTCCTGCGTTAGTAACTGTTGCACTTGTGAATTATTCCTAGGAAGGTCTTGGAAGGGTTCCTCATCCCCTTTCCCCTTCCCCCATAACAATCTGTACCCCAGACCCTTCCCTTCATCCTTTGACCACGATCCCTCAGCTTGACGGGTGTTTTCCGTTTTGATCTGTAACAATAAAATGTACTTTGGATGTGTACATCTCCTGGTCATGGACTGTTCTTTCCTGCCTGGGATGGAATCACACGATATACTCCTACATATAGACCAGTGTTTCTCCACCTTGGCAAGTTTGAGATGGGTGGACTTCAACCCCCAGAATTCCCCAGCCAGCATGGCTGGCT